CTCAACCCCCTAAACCGCAAAATTGCCCTTCTTCTAATCGCGTGCTCTGCTCACTCACGCACCAACGCACCAAGGAACAGATAAACGTGATCTTTGTGCCGAGTACAATTACAACTCTCTCTCTCTCTCTCTCTCTCTCTCTCTCTCTCTCTCTCTCTCTCTCTTCTTGGTTTAGTTCACCATGGCTCTTCTCCCCCCACCAAACCCCTCCCCCGGGTACACAACAAGTCAACAGGTCAGCCAGCGCCTAGGCGATCATAAATCATTATATGACCGTCTAGGTACGTACATATTTGGCTTTCTCGTAGTCATAGGAATAGATAGTGTACTCGAAATATAATTCCTTTGGCGTGCATAATTAATTAAACCCAACTGAAGCGGACTACGTCGACTCTGCATGCCAGGTCCAGCCTAGCTGTGTAGCATGTGTCCTAATGCCCACTGCACACTGCTTATCGAATGGAGTCGAATTGAGTCGGAACCAGCCAGATTTGTCTCCATGGAGAGACAACATAACATGTACCATTGAGCACAATTTGATCTGATCCCCCAAAATTGAACATGGTTGTTTTTGGAGGATTTGATCAAATTGTGCCAAAATGGCAGCTTTTGCCCCTCCGTGAAGGACAATCATGACCGACCCCGACAGTATCAAATAAATCAAATGAATCAAAAGAGCAATGTGCAGTGGGTATGTATTAATGCCGAGTTTAACACTCTGTACTCGGTTGGTCTGGTTCATCATGGCTCTTCTCTCGTCGCCCCGGTACACAAGTCAACAGGTCAGCGCTCATTAACACCGTCATGTGGCGAGTGACCAGATGTTGGTATAATTTATTATTATCATATTATTTGCCTTGCCCAGAATAGGCACAGAGTGTGTTCGAAGTATTCCTTTAGCGTGCCTGATGTGCTTAATTAAGATCCAACGGAGGCAGGCTGCGTTGACTCTGCATGTCAGGTCTAGCCTGGCAGCGTGGTATGGGTTTGAAGGGAAATATGAACGAACAAGGTCAGGAGAATTAGATTCCCTTTTGGCGAGAAAGATGGGGGGGGCTCTAGCTACTTACTGAAGTATTGCAGAAGGACAGGCCCTTCCAGTTCAGCTGACCACCGAACTGGCGAACTGCTGGCCTGCATTAGTATCTTGTAGAGGGATATAGCCGTCATCTGTAAAAAAAAACCAGTCTATTTTCACCTTTTTAGTTTCTTTATATCTCAGTTTTTCTTTTGTTTGCAATGTCGTTGAACTAATGTGTGCATATTGAAGAAGAATGTTTTACTAAAACGTCCAAAGCATTCTTGTGTTGAGACTTCAAACACAAGTTTTCTTGGTTTTGTTTTGTTGTGTTATATTATGTTTTTTACTGCTCCATCGGTCCTTTTTCGTCCACTGCGAAAAGCAACATTCCACTCCAACTCTGGTCTTACTAGTCTGTGCTGACCACTACCTCCTCGCTCGGTCTTGAAAGTATGTGTTTGTGTGTGTGTGGGGGGGGGGG